TTAGGATATATTTCCTAAAAATAAGGACATTCTCTTACATAACCCATAATATGATTACCAAAGCCAGGATATTTAACATAGAAACAATGCTATTATCTAATCTACCAACCATATTCCAATTTTGCCAACTGTCTCCATAATGTTCTTTAGAGCATTTTTGGCCCTGACCTGGGATCATGCATTGCATCTAGTTCTCATGTCTCTTTAGCTCCCTTTAATCTGGAACAGCTCCTCATCCTTTCTTTATCTTTTATGAGTTGACATTTCTGCAGAGCACAGTCCAGTTATGTCTAATTGATCTTCATTTACACCAAAGGAAACAGATGCTCAGAGAGATAAAGGCACTTGCTTGAGGCCACACAGCCTGTGTGAGAGGGCCATCTGGCACTACTGTCCACATTCCATCTGGATACCCAGCTATCTTCTAATTGATTGAGGGCCCACTATGAGCTTAGCATTGAGTGAGGTGCTTATGAGCTCAGTGCATGCTTACAACAACCCCATGAGGCTCGGAGAGGTGAAGTGATAGACCCAAAGTCACCCAGCAAATAAGTGGAGACAAGCTCTGGCTGGCCACTACTCAGAGCTGTCTACTGAGAGGGCTCTGGACTCATAGCCAGGAGGTCTAGCTTCCAATTCTGGACGTGCCCTTCACTCTTAGGCTGCTCATCTGTATGGTGATACTGACTTCACAAGGAGATTTAAGGACCAGATATAAAAACCCTTTGTTAGTACAAGTTTAAGTGTGCTACATGTTAGCTTTATTTCAGAAACCTCCCAGAGCACCCATCCCCTCAGACCAGCCTTGAAGATGGCCAGGGCTCTGGTTCTATTTTACCAGTCCACTTCCTTGCCTGCCTTTTTCCTAAGCCTTTATGGGTTTTTTCACCTGTAAAGTGCGGGTGTTAAGCCCCTGCCTCACAAGGCTATTGCAGGGATAGAGTGAGATAAGGACTCGAGCGGAGGGCTTGGCATATAATTGGTACTTGGTAGACATTAGCAATTGTCTGTTATTATTTTCTCCTCTGTACATCCTCTGCTCTAGCCAGAAGGGCCTTTTCAGCATCTTTGAAATGTGCCCTGACTAATCCTGTCACACAGCTTTGTACAAGCTCTAGCCCCCTTTCCTTCTGCATCTCTGAATCCTTTCCCTTCTGGTCCCTCAGCTCCACAGACTGCTGCCCCAGCCACTGCTGGACTCTTGACTTTGGCTTCTCCTTTTGCTAAGGTCTGGGCCTGCTCTCTAGGTGGAGATGTGATGCCCTCCCCATACCTATGGCTAGAAGGGGGAAAGCCTTAATGTTTGCCACGGACTCCTGTGGGTCAGACATTTGACTCTTTAGTTGCTTGATGGTAGGGGGATCTGGGGGTTCTGAGGGTAGGGTCAGGTGGCCAGGATGGTGGAGGATCACCCGGACATGGACAGCAGCTGGGTACTGACCAATCTGGAGGGACATTTGCATTTTACCACTTAGTGTGTTGCACTGGTATGTACTGGTAAACCCCAGTCCTGCTGGAGTACCATGCCCAGGGCATCAGTCAAGCTAGACCCATTCCCTGGGCATCCTCAGGACCCCTTTCTGGTGGCCTCTGCTATCCAGGCCCTGGCTTCTTTTCTGGCGGCCCAGTGGCCCCAGATGGTTGGTACCCACAGAGCTCTGCAAGCCCCAGTACCTGATTAATGACAAGTCGGCTCCCATGAAACCATGAGTGAGCAGCAATTCCAGACAATTAGTTAGCAGGCCCAGGAGAAGGCTGTCACAGAGGTAGTGGTCACTGGCCCAGTTCTTCTCAAGACACAGCCCTGTGCCAGCTAGTGGACACACTGGAGAGGAAGAGACTGCGCCTCTTGGGGCTCCCACTCTGGTGGGGGAGACAGATGTGTAGGTCACACTGACAAGCTCAGTGACAGGGGTTTAAAGGTGTCATCTGGGAGCCAGGGGACTGAGTGGCAGGGAAGACTTGAGGATGTAGAGGATGAATAATGACTGTAATATTTACTGACCACCCACTCTAGCCAGCCACAGTTCCTCACACATAATCTCATTTAATCTGAGGAAACTGAGGCTCACAGAAAAGTATGTGTCCAAGGCTACACAGTTAGTGAGTAGTGGAACCAGGACACCACTCCAGGTCCATCTAACTTTAGAAACTTGAAACTACCAGACCCCTCTATTCATGTGCTCATCAGACAGGTACTGATATCCGGTCACAACTGTGGCTACCATTCATTGAGCAGTTACTACAGACTGGGTCTAATGCTACAGGCCCTGCTGACTGTCACCACCCCACACTGCCCAAGCATCCCTCCAGCAGCTAAGAGGGAACAGGTACAAATTGAGTCTCCGCCATCAATTTCCTTTCTGAGCCACAGTTTCTTATCCGGAAAACAGGGATCATGATACCTGTTTTTCAGGGCTTGTGCGAGGTTTAGAAATAGTGCGTGTAAAGTGCCTGGCACAGAGCAGGTCTCTGATAAGTGGTAGTTAGTATTGTTATTCCAGGCAAAGACTGTAAATGCTGCAGAATCTGAAGGGTCAGGGGTGTTTGGCTGTTGGCAGGATCACCCAGCCAGGGGAGGCCTGATGGAGGAGGGTCAGCAGTGGACAGATTGTAAAGCATCTTAAATCCCAAAGGCCGAATGGTTTGAACTTGGAACAGAGGGCAGTGGGAAGTGCCAATGGCTTTTAAATAGGGAAGTCCCTGCCTGGTGCCAGGTTCTGGGGATATGGACATTAGCTAGACATCCATGTTTGCAGGAACAACCCTGCAAAGACATAATTTCTTCTGGAGAGATGTTTGCAAAGGAAAAGTCCACCAGGCTCTGGGCCCATATGCACCCTGACCTAGCCTGGGTTGGAGAAGACCTCGCTACGAAAACAGCTTGTAAACTGAGTCCCAAGGAGGAGTGGGAGGCAGCAGAAGGAGCTGGGTGCAAGGCGAGCCTAAGGGGAGCCCTGTGTGTGACGGGAGTGAGGGGGTGGTGTGCGGGCTGGGGACGTAACAGTGGAGATCTGTGTTTGGAAAGAGCTTTCAGAGGCAGCATAGGGGACAGACCCGAGGGACAGGCTAGAAGAGACCAGTGTGGAGGCTGAAGCTGGATCTGAGACAGCAGAAGTTTATGGGATGGGAGAAGGGAGGCTTCTTGGAGGAAGTGTCGGTCGGGTAAAGCTGGAAGATTGGGGAGACAGGTTCGGTCCTTGAGCTCCGGGGCACTGTGACCCAGGCTACAGGCCAAGCCCTACGTGCGTGCTCTGTACATTTAGCGCAAGAACTCTCTTTCATGTCACCTCGGGAGCTACTGCACGTGGCGGCTGCCGCCCTCTGCCCAGCCCAGCCCAGCCAAGCCTGGCGGTCCCTGCCTGCTGCAGATGCATATTTGCATTCCTTTGCATACTGTTCCCCGCCCCTCTGGCCCTCCAGCCCGCACCGCGCCCCCTGCCGGCCGCAGACCGCCTGGCAGCGCAGTGACGCCCCCTTGGCCCGGCGCCCCCTTTCGACCACCAAGCGCCGGCCGCCCTGGGCCCGGGTGCCAGCCCGGTACTTACCGCCAACTCGCGTCCCGGGCACGCGCTCCTAAGCCCGCCGCTCCAGGCCCTCCACTGTAGGGCCCCGGTGTCCTCCAACATCTCTCCTGACCCCCTACGCCCCCAAATTCCCGGCGCCCGCTCGGAGCTTTCACCTGCGGCGTCTTTGCGCCTTTCCCACCCAGCTCTCCAAGGGAGCGCGGCAGGGCCCGCCCGATAGCCCCCTCTTCTGGGAAGCCTTCCCAGACACGCCTTCCCGAAGCCCCCGGCTCCGCACGCCTCCGTAATTCCCCACTCCACCTTGCCCAGGCGGGGGCAGCAAACGTCAGCGAGCCCGGGGGCGCCTCTGAATCTTGCGGGTGGGGGCTCGGGCAGGCTCCTCTCACTCCCCGCCTCCCCTCCCGCCCCCAGGCCATTTACAAGATGGTTTCGTCCGTGATGAAGATGCCGGAGGACGAGTCGACCCCGGAGAAGAGGACTGAGAAGATCTTTCGCCAAATGGACACAAACAACGACGGTGAGGGGCAGGGGCGGGACGGGGTGGACGGGGCGGGCGCCTCTCCCTCCCTCCCTTTCCGCTCCGCCTCCCCTCACTTGGCTGCCGCCTCCTCCCCCATCACCGCTCCCCTCGCCCTGCAGGCAAGCTGTCCCTGGAGGAGTTCATCCGCGGAGCCAAAAGCGACCCGTCCATCGTGCGCCTGCTGCAGTGCGACCCCAGCAGCGCCTCCCAGTTCTGAGAGGAGCCAGTTCCCCCTTCCTCCCTCCCTTCACCGTCTCCCTCCCGGCTCTTAGCTTCCTCTCCCTTGTGTGTATTCTGGCTGGGGGCCAGATTGGGGAAGCCCTTCTCCCCGGGTCTGCTCTGTGGGGGGCTTCCGGAAAAGGGAACCCTGCGGTACCCCCAGGCCAAAGCAAGTAAGCAGTTAGCACCCCCCAATCCGAGAGGCAACAATAGAGACACAGGCTGGGTTGGTCTGCTTCTCAGTCAGGTCCCCTTACCCACCCACCAGCCCCGAGGCCAGACACCTCTCCCAAAGGGGCAGTCTCCCCGTCTTGCAGATCTCAGCTTGGGGGGTGGGGGGAGTCATGCCCAGGGGAGGAGCCTTTTTATCTGGAGGGGAGAGAAGGATTCTAGGGGTGTGGAGTTGGAGAAAGAGGGTTCCTCGAGCCACCCTTCCCACCCCAGCCCTTGCTGGTCCCCAGGCCAAGCCACCAAGTGAAACCTTCCAGGATACTAGCCCCGCCAGCTGTGGGTCCCAGAAAGCCCGCCTGCCTTTTAGCACTTGGATACACACAGACCCACGGAGTTCCTGTGTTTTGCCTCTCACACACATACAGGCCCACAGACAGATGGGCAGATGCACCCAGAGCCCCATGCACAGCGTCCTGCGTGAGAAAGAGACACGGCCCCCTGGCTGAGCCCCTGTCCTCCCCTCTGTCCCCCCAATCGCCCCCCCCCCTCTGCATGCAGCCAAATGGAGCATCTCTGTTCTTTTTAATAATTTCAGAATAAAGTCTCATTTCAGTGCAGTGGGCTGGATGGTGGGGGAAGGGGTTGAAAGCCCCACTTGGGTCCCCGAGGGTCCATTGAGCCCTCTCAGGCCAGCTCCAGGAATCCTGGCCTGGTCACAGAGCAGAGTTGCTTGCAGGGTGCTAGTGGCCATGGGGCCTGGGCAGGACATCATCTCTCAGAGGGTCAGAGGCTCAGAGCTGGTGCAGCTCAGCAGGTCACGGCCCTCCACCAGCTCTGGGTTCTCCCGCATCTGCAGAGACACAGGAGACTGCCAAACCCACTGGTTCTCAGCCTGGGTCTCCCCCTCCAGGACATCCAGGAAATGGAAGGAGGGGAGGGCTGGAAGGATCTCTGGGGGCAAAGAGGCATCACTACCCACTCCACTGCAAGAGCCAGGCCAGACCCTTGGAATGCCCCCAGTGTGAGCCCAGACACCCCTGCCCCTCCCTCAAGACTCATCCTGGGCCCTAGGAGAGCCAGGTGTCAGCTGGGTGACTCTGCTGGGAGATCTCACCTCTCTGAGCCTCCAAGCCTCCCCCTTTGCTCCTGGGAAGAAAACTTTTGCTCCATTTCTCAAGGTGGGGGCCCCTACACAGGGGTGGGGCAGAGCAGCTTGGGTACCCTGGCAGGGGATCCCAGGAAATTCGGGGAGTCAGGGCTGTGGAGGGAACTTACCACGTGGTGGCTGCTTTTCCCCCACCAGGGCCTCAGCTCCAGCAACTGGTGGGTGAGCTGAGCGCAGCGCACAGCAAACACATTCTCCACCACGCAGAGCACTAGGGCGATGCCCCAGAGGCACAGGCTGGAGCTCTGTGGGGCATGGGGCAGAGATGGCTGGCTGGAGGTTGGGGGTGGTGGGTGGACTCCAAGAGCCTTTCCCACCCCTGCGAGGGCCTGGTGCCCCACCTCAGGCCTAGATACTCACATAAATGCGTGTGGGGTCGAAGGGACAGTCAGGTGCGAGGGGCAGTAGTTCAGAGCTCCCAAAAGTGCAGGCAGCCAGCAGTGCCTTGCCCTGGGTGGCAAAGGTCACGGCGATGGAGGCCAAGAGGCCAAGGGCACAGGTCAGAGAGAGGAGAGCACAGGCCACGCTCGAGCTAAACACTGTCCAGCGCTGGATGGGGGAGGCCACTGGTCAACAGGTGTTGTGCTTGGCCCCCATGGGCAGCTCTGACCTCCCTGAGGGTCAGCCTTACCCCCTTCAAGGAGGCCAGGCCCTTGGTGGGTGGCTGCTGCCCCTACCCTTCCCTCAAAGCCCTATCCCAGGAGGCAACACGTACCAGAGGGGTGCTGGGGAGGTAGCGTGATAACACGATGGCTGCGATGCCTGAGGTGATGACCTGTAGGGAAGGCCCAAGTCAGCCTTGACTCCTTGGCTGGAGGAGCAGGGGCAGGGGATCAGGGCCACTCTGGGATAATGATCTCACCGGCGCCAACCATTGCCCTCTAGACTCCCCCACCCCTCACCCACTGCTTAGCCTGGGCTTCACATCTCCATCTGCCTCCTCATAGTCCAGCCTGACATGATGTTTCTAAAACTGTCACTCCCTCTCTACAACCTTCCACGAGTCCCCACTGCCTACGGCTGTGTCTCAAGCAGGTTCATGTATCCTGGGGCCACCAGGGCCTGCCAGGGTATGAATGGGACACACCTCTCTGGAATGGAAAAGATTGTGGAAGAAACTAACCCAGTTAGCAAGGAACTAAAATCAAAATTGTTACATTGAAACAAACCAAGACATGTTATAGAGTAGAATTTTAAATCCCTGGGGGTATTTTCAATGATTCCAGGTTCTCAGTGACTAGACCCCAGCCCCACCCCTGTTGGCTTCTCAGCCCCACCTGGGGTACCGTCCTCCCTCACTGCTCTGGATATGGATGCCTATACACAGCCTGCTCAGGACGCTGCCCACGCACCCTCTCACCAGGAACACCCTTCCTGCTCCTCTGTCCCTGCGGATCCTGCAAGCCCTGCTCAGGTTTGCACACGTTTCCCTAACCAGCCTCGATGCCAAGGGGTGGGGCTACCCCACAGTTCAGCCCAACAGCCACCCTCTGGATCTTTGGGGTCCACCCATCCAGTCTTCCTCCTGATGTTCCTCAATGGACCAGGCTTGGGCTGGACCCATCTGAGGCAGGTGGTATGACGGGGTCCTGGGTTCCAGGCCCAGCATGTCTTTAGTTTACATGAGAGCCACAACACAGTGCCTCAATCTCTGTGGGCTTAGCCCCGCTCTGCAGGATGAGCTGACAGAAAGGACACTGGCTTTGGTGTCAGACACAAATAGGTTCCAATCCGGGTTGACTTCTGTGTATCAGCAGGAAGTTGGGTGAATCCCTGAGTCTTGGTTTCCTCTTTTGTGAAATGGGGATAATAATGGCCCCCAGCTGCTGGGAGCAGTGAGGATTAACTAAGTGAGGGGAAGGCTGAAGTGGTCCAGCTCAAAGCCCATTCTGGTGGACCTCCTCACCCTGAGCCCACTGCCTTCCCTGAGTTCCTCACAACAGTATTAGTCAGAGGAACTCCAAGGACCCTGCACACATCCGCCCAGCCCAGCCCCGTCCCACCAACAGAGCCTCTCCTTCTTGCTGGGACCTATGACCCCCATTCTCCCAAGCCCTGAGGCCAGCAGGCTGTCTGAGCTTTATTTTGCAAGGGAGGAACAGGCCTAGAGAGAGAAGTAAGTCTCTCAGCCAGGAGGAGGCAGGGATGGAACTCAGACACTGATGTGCGGGAAGATCTTCCCCCGAGGCTGTGGCCCCTTCTGCTGACCGGCAGGAAAGAGCTTTAGAAACTCGAGACTACCTGACCCCTCCATTCACGTACTAGTCAAACAGGTACTGATATCCAGTCACAACCATGGCTACCATTCACTGAGCAGTTGCTACAGACCAGGCCTCATGCTAAGCTCCTGCCAAATTGGTTTTCTCAGAATCTCCAGAACAGATCTTAGCCATTTCCACCTCCAGCCTTCCCGTCTCCCATTCTCTGTACTTGGAATGCCATCTCAGCTTCCTTTCCTGCCTCTGCTAGCCTCAACATGCCACATACATAGGTTCTGGTCATGGCAGCCTGTCTGTGAACTCCTGCTCATCCATCAATACCCACGTCAGAGGCCGGCACTCCGTGCAAGCCTCCAGCACCCTCCCAAGCTCAACTCCTGCTCCTTTCTTCTGTCCAGTGGTGCTGTGGATATTTCTCGATGTAATAATCATCTTAGCTCACAGTAGTGGGCGCTAACAACACGCTAGACACTGTGCTAAGCACTTTCTGTGGAAGACCTCATCAGTACCCATCAGGACCCTCAGAGGTAAACACTGTTACCATCTCCATTTTATAGATGAAGAAGTTGAGTGACTTGGGCAGTTGGTAAGTGGCAGACAAAGGGTTAGTCCTTGAGGTTCTCTGCTTACCACCACCGGCTCTGGGTGGGGACCTGTTGAAGATCCTTCAAGCCCCCTCCAGCCTCCTCCCACCAACCACCCTCCCAGCCTGGCCATACCACGATAGCACAAGTGACAGAGAGGATGTTGACCACGCAGTACTGCAGCGCCACAGCATCTTGGGGGGTGCCCACGTAGCGCAGCACTGTGCCATGGAGCAGTGCGGCCGTGATGAAGCTCACGTGGCCCAGCACCACCAGCACCAGGCCTGTCTTCATCAGCACCTTCCGAAAGTCGCCCACACTCAGGCCTCCTGTCGGGTTAAGCTATGTCAGGGCTGTGCGTGGGGCTTATCCTGCTGGGCAGAAGGGGAAGCCAAGGCCCTGGCCCTAATGATGGACACTGGGTTCTAAATGTATTTCTGGATGACTTGGAGCCAGTAACTTGTCTTCTCTGAGCCTTGGTCTCCTCATCCATAAAAGGGGTTCAGGATGCCTTTGCGAGAATCCTCGGGACTCTGAGGCTGGACGGCATACAGGTGACTCTTAGCAGTAGCGTTTGTTAGTGCTCAAGGTCATGAGTGAGGGGGTGCTAGCTCAGTTTTCTAGCTCTAGACTTCGAGATCCTTCCACTAAGCTCCCCATTCACTGATTCATGTGTTCATTACACATGTTCACAGAGTGTCTGCTCTGTACCAGGCCCTGGGGTACCACAGTGAGCTCCACAGTCACTCTCCAGGCCACAGGGAGCCAGAGTTCATTGGGCAGGAACTGGGCCCTGCTTGGTACTCAGTTTGGTGGATAGGGCCTGATACACAGCAGATGCTGACACTACTGCTGAACTGAACTGCCCAGAGCCAGGTGACTTGGGGCAGGGAACTCAAGGCTCTGAGTCTCCATGTCCCCATCTGCAAAATGGGAAGAAGAACCTTGCCTCTCAGTGGGTCCATGAGGAAGTGGATGGGAAATTGTGGCATACCCTGAGGGTACTGGGAAAAGCAAGCTCTCAGTGCAGGGGGAACTGGGCAGGATGGAGTGAGTAGGGGAAACTGGGATCAAAAGAACACTGGGACTCATTCAGATGTTCTCAGTGGCCAAGTGGCTGCCCAGCCCTACCTGCACATGCCGGCTCCCAACCTGCTCTCTGAAATTTGCCCATAAGTCCTAGCTCTGCCCTCAAGGAGACACACCACACCAGCCCCCTGGCCCTGCCAGCCCCTCACTAGAGCCAGCTCTGAGACTTGAAGACTGTGGTTAGGCCCCAGAACTAAATATTCCCTTCTTTAGCTGCTTCTGATGGGATGTGACTGAGTGCTTTCCTAGACCTCCGTCTCCCCATCTGTGGTAGAGCAGTTTGGTCATATTTAATATATGGGAGCTCTGCAGCTGGGGTGGGGGGGCGGAAAAGAGGCTAGGCACAGTGCTCATGCCTCTAATCCCAGCACTTTAGGAGGGCAAGGTGGGAGAATCACTTGAAGCCAGGAGTTCAAGACCAGTCTGATCAACACAGCAAGATCCCATCTTTACCAAAAGGATAAAAATAAAAAATTAGCCAGGCATGGTGGTGCATGCCTCTAGTCCCAGTTATTCAGGAGGCTGAAGCAGAAGGATCTTTTGAGCCCAGGAGGTGGAGGCCACAGTGAGCTATAATCATGCCATTGCACTCACGCCTGGGCTATAGAGCCAGAGACCCCATCTAAAAAAAATGAAATCTCTACACTGGACGTTCTCTGGGATATCTGTCTGAAGCTGTGCCAAGAGACAGTCCTCAGGGAGCAGGAAGGGATGGGGCTGTTCAGTCACAAACTTGCTGTGTGACCAGGCACCAGTCCCTCCCCTCTCTGGGCCCCAAGTTCCACATCTATAAAATGGGGAGGCATTGGTCCAGCCGGTCTCTGAGACCCCTGGAGCTTGCAGGACCCTCTGGAGCTGAACCAGGTCTAGGAGAAACAGAGGGCAGATGATGGGCTGGACAGGCACCATGAGACTGGAATAGCATTGTGAAGATGGAATGCCAGCCAAGCAGGAAGGGGCACGGCAGCTTCAGCGCAGGAGCCTGACCCACCTCACCCCATCCACCCACCTACCTGGGAGCTCAGTGTCTACCTTCCATCTCAGGGCTGGGCTCAATAACCAAGGGCATCCCCGGACCAAGACTTTGGTCAAAGAGGAGGCACGGTGCCAGCATGGGGCTGTGCCTGGAGCACTGGACTGAGTCTGGAGCAGTCCTTGACTTTTTATTTATTTATTTATTTTTTATTTTATTTTATTTTATTTTGAGATGGAGTCTCACTCAGTCGCGCAGGCTGGAGTCCAGTGGCGTGATCTCGGCTCACTGCAAGCTCCCCCTCCCGGGTTCATCCCATTCTCCTGCCTAAACCTCCCAAGTAGCTGGGACTACAGGTGCCTGCCACCATACCCGGCTAATTTTTTGTATTTTTAGTAGAGATGGGGTTTCACCATGTTAGCCAGGATGGTCTCGCTCTCTGACCTCGTGATCCGCCCCTCTCGGCCTCCCAAAGTGCTGAGATTACAAGCCTGAGCCACCGCACTGGGCTGACTTTTTAAATTAAATTAATTGAGACAGGGTCTCATTGTGTAGCCCAGGCTGGAGTGCACTGGCCTGATGGCGGCTCACTGAAACCTCCGCCTCCCGGGCTCAGGTGATCCTTCCACCTAAGCCTCCTGAGAAGGCGGGCTAATTTTTTTTTTTCTTCTTTTTTTAAATTTTTTGTAGAGACGGATTTCACCATGTCGGCCAGGCTAGTCTCTAACTCTTGGACTCAAGCGATCCGCCTGCCTCGGCCTCCCAAAGTGCTGCCTCCCAGATGAAGCCCAGCCGGCTTCATTTCTAACTTACCACTGTGGGAGCGCTAAGCAGAGCAGCCGGCAAGGTGCTAAGCGCTTTACTCTTAGAACCTGCCCTCATCCTCATAGTAGTCCTAGGAGGTGGGAACTACTGTCCCCCTCTTACAGACAAGGAAACTGAGGCTCACAAGGTCTCTCGGCTAGACAGCGGGGATGCCCCAGGACTCTGCTGCCCACAAGCGGCATCACCGTGCCCAGGCAGTGGAGGGAGGGGGCACATTAGTCCCGCTCCCTCGCTGCTGATCCTTTTTGCCCATGGCTTTCCTTTCTGGCCTCAGGAGAGTGGAGAGTATGTAAGACGGAGCCCCTTGCAAGGCTGGGGAAGCTGAGGCCTGGCCCCGGGGTCCCTTCTGGGTAAGTGTGGGGCTGCTCTCTACAGCGTCTCCTCTGCCGCCCACCCGGGGGTCCCCGAGGGCAGTCGTGCGCCTCGGCAGGAAAGGCAAGAAAGGGCGAGGGGAAGAGAAGCTACAGCCACATCGAGAAGACACCCGCAGCGCTCCTCCCTCCATTTCACTGCTGGGGAAACTGAGGCCCAGAGAGGAAAGTGACCCGCCCCCGGCCGCGTAGTAAGTTAGAGCCCCCTGGGGGCTCCGGCTCCAGGCTCAGTGCTCCGCTCCCGTGGGAGGGTTGGGGTGGTTCGGGGCCTCCCGCGCGCCCCCCGCCGCTCACCGAGGCGCAGACACATGTCGACTCCGCGCTGGTCCCGCCCCCGACTTCAGCGTGGCTCCCGAGGCTGCGGGCCGCGGAGGGGCCCCGCTCCCATCCCGCTGGCCCGTCGCCCGCGCGCCCCGCACCGCCGCGCTCTCCCACTTCCCGCCCGGAGCCCGGGGCTGGGCGGCGCCGGGCCGGCCTCCCTTCCCGTCACCCCCCGGGCCGCCCAGCCCCGCAGCGCCCCCGCGGCTCGTGCGCCTCCCGGCCGGTTGAACCGGCTGAGCAGCCCGTGGCCCGCCCGCTGAGTCAGGCGACTCCCCGCCCGGCCCGCCCGGCGCCGGGCCGCCCGCCCTCTTAGCCCACCCGCGGCGGCGGGCCCGCTCTACAAAGGGAAACTGAGGCTCTGAGGAGCCGCCCGCCCGGGCCCGCGGGCAAGCTGGGGACTGCACGCGTAGCTGTGGTTACCGTGACCTGGGTGTGGCGCTTGGGCGGAAAGCCCCCGGGCCCAAGGCTGGGACGGAGAGGGGCTGCAGGGGCGGTGAAAGAGCTGCTGGGGACTGGGGTCTGCCCCTACCTGCTGTGTGACCTCAGCCAAATCGCCTCTCCTCTCTGCGCTTACCTTTACCGCCTGCTAGTCTTGTCTTCTACGCCGAAAAAGGAGCTTTATGGCTCATTCTTGGTCGGGAGGGCCTCAGTTCCCTCCTTGGAAAATCAGGGATAATAATTCCTGTCCCCTAGGGTCGTGGTGACACAAGATAGGATACAAAAATGAGGTAAGAAGCTCTTTCGGCCAGGCGCGGCGGCTCATACCTGTAATCTCAGCACTTTGGAAGGCCTAGGCAGGCGGATCACCTGAGGTCAGGAGTTGAGACCTGTCTGGCCAACATGGTGAACCCCCCCGTCTCTATTAAAAATACAAAAATTAGCCGGGTGTGGTGGGGCACGCCTGTAATCCCAGCTACTCTGGAGGCTGAGGCAGGAGAATCGCTTGAACCCGGAAGGCAGAGGTTGAACAACAAAACAACAACACACTTTGGAAACTCTCCAGACTGTCTTTATGGACAAAGTGTAGACCTAGCAAGAGCACATAGTAGGAGCTTTATTAGTACTTCTCTGGGTTATGGAACCCTTTAATGTGCCAGGATGGACCCCAGTGAAGTCCCTTGTTAGTCTCAGCATCCCTTTGGGGGAGGTACCATTCCTGCACCTTTGGGTTCAGAGACCACAGACCACTCACCCAAGACCACCAGCTGGAAGTGGTGGAGTAGGCAGGAGCCTGGAATCCCCCTGGGTCTCTGTGCCCAAGTTCTGTAGAGTGGCCACACTGTGGCCACCTCCCTGGGCTCTCTCAGTCCTGGGAGCGGGCCCATGAGAGGCACTTACTGTGGGATCTGGGCAACATCTGTTGATAGCTTGCCCCACTTACCCCTCTGGGCAGTGGCCCAGAGGCTAGGGGCTGGCCGGCTGTCTGGGTACTTCGTTGGAGCCTGGCCTGGGGGCTGTCCACTGACTGTGTGTCTTTCTGCACACCTGTGCTGACACCTGCGGCGCTGTGCATGTTGGGCAGTTGGGTCAGATGTAGAGCCTCTGGAGTTTGGAGACCACATTAACACCATGGGAGGGAGTGGAGCCATTTCTCCTAGGAAGCCCCCCAGGGCATCCCATCTGGTAACCCCTCAGTAGGACTGCTTCCCTGTCACCTGCTGTCTGAAGGGGGATAATGTGCAGGGGATTCCGGGTGGGGAGACAGATTTGTCAGGCGGAAGGGAAGATGGGGGCAGTTGATGAAGGCATCAGGCTGGCATCGGAATGTTGATGTCCTCAGACAATCTTTTAGTAGGGCAATTGGGTAGTACTTACTCATATTAGAAATGTTCAGACACTTGTGGCTGGGCGCGGTGGCTCATGCCTGTAATCCCAGCACTTTGGGAGGCCAAGGCGGGCAGATCACGAGATCAGGAGATTGAGACCATCCTGGCTAACATGGTGAAACCCCGTCTCTACTAAAAATACAAAAAAAATTAGCCAGCATGGTGGCGTGTGCCTGTAGTCCCAGCTACTCAGGAGGCTGAGGCAGGAGAATGGTGTGAACCCGAGAGGTGGAGCTTGCAGTGAGCTGATATTGGGCCGCTGTACTCCAGCCTGGGTGACAGAGTGAGACTCCATCTCAAAAAAAAAAAAAAAATGTTCAGACGCTTGTAACTGTGGCCCAGAAATTCCATTTGTAGATCTTTATCCTATGCACCAGAGTGCAAAGATATGCATGCATTTAATGGTGTTTGTGGATAAACTGTTCCTAATAGCAAGCAATGGCGCCAAAGTGATAACCAAGATTTGTGCAGGAGAGTCAGGGGAAGGATTTTGCTTTTTATTTTACACGTGGCTGTGTGGCTGAAGTTGGAGTCTTACAATGAATTCATGCCTTATTTTGGTGAGGCCTGGCACAGTGGCTCATGCCTGTAATCCCAGCACTTTGGGAGGCCAAGGCGGGTGGATCACTTGAGGCCGGGAATTCAAGACCCGCCTGGCCAACATAGCAAAACCACCATCTCTACTAAAAACACAAAAATTAGCTGGGCGTGGTGGCGGGCGCCTGTAGTCCCAGCTACTCGGGAGGCTGAGGGAGGAGAATCCCTTGAATCCGGAAGGCGGGGGTTGCAATGAGCCGAGACCGCTCCACTGCACTCTAGCCTGGGCAACAGAGCGAGACTCTGTCTCAAAAAAAAAAGACAAAGAAAAAGAAAGGAAGGGCCCCTTCACCACCACTGCCCTGACCCCATTCCACCAACAGCTTGTGATGCCAATGCCCATCTCCCAGGGGCTGCCCTGGAGAGCGCAGGTGGTCACTGCAAAGCCAGTGTCAAACCTCATGTGTGTGCATGGATGTCGCTTCTCTATCAGTCAGTGTCAGGCAGTCCTCTTGACTCACCCATGCTAGAGCCTTCTGGAATTAGGTTGGGGACCTTGTAATGCTTTTGCTTCCAGATGCATAGATGATGATTCTCCTTTATCCTTGGAACTACACAGAATTAAAGATAATCACTCCATTTTACAGATGAGAAAATTGAGGCCCAGAGAGATAAAGGACTTTTTAAAGACCCTACAACATATATCAGAGGTAAAGCTGAGACTGGAACCTGGACCTGTCTGACTGTGAGGCTGCTCCTGACTTCTCAGTGTGTATGTGTTGGGGGTGGGGAGAGTCACAGTCCCCAGGAGCGTGCCTGCCCTCTGGGACCTCTAAAGAGGGAAAACTTTCCACCTGCTTCTCTCCAGACCATAATTTCCCAGCCATCAGCCAACCTCAGTGGTCTGAAGTTATTGCAACTTCTTTTCCTTATTGCCATGTGGCCAAAGTCCGTCAGCAAACCTTGGCCTCTGCCCCACCCCTCTGCACACTGGCCTGAGGTTCTAGAAAGAACTCCAGGTCTGAGCTCTAGTTCCTTATCCTCCATCAACTCACTGTGATATCCTGGCAGCTCACTGCCATTTCCTGGGCCTCAGTTTCCCTATCTGTCAAATGGGGATAATGATTTTCTTTCCAGGCTTCTCAGATTTTTTGAGCCATAAATGACTTGTGAGATATGAAAGTACATGGAACCTAGCCAGAGAAATACAAATAGCAGTTATCTTCCTGGTACATTTAACAACCAGGTGTGGCCCGTGCACTTAGCTGGGAGCTGGATCTCCCCAGGACATGGGCTCCCATGGGGCTGCTTAGCTGGGGAGGTGGGTTCAGGCCGCCAGTCCCTGTGCATCCCCTCCTCAATTTAAAGAAGGTTGCCATCCCTTCCTGATTATAAGAACCGTTCCTCCATGTAAGTAAAGCCATCACACACAACTGTACCAGATTCTAGTTTATGTATGTATATACCTGTATAAAACTAAAAACCAACTGACCATGCTTGTCCAAGAGAAGAAGAGGCAGTTAAAGGAGACTTTCACTATAGCTCTGAAGTTGTTTTTTTTTCTAAAGCAAATATGGCATATTTACAATTATGGATTCTAGATGGTGTGAATAGGACTCTTTGTTACATTAACTTTTGTATTCTTTTACATGTCTGAAAAAAAAAACTCATTGTAGAAAAATTGAGAGAAAAACGAAAAGTATAAAGCAGAAATCAGGCCGGGCACGGTGGCTCATGCCTGTAATCCCAGCACTTTGGGAGGCTGAGGCAGGTGGATCACCTGAGGTCAGGAGTTTGAGACCAGCCTGGCCAACAAGGGGAAACCCCATCTCTACTAAAAATACTAAAATTAGCCGGCATGGTGGCGCATGCCTGTAGTCCCAGCTACTTGGGAGGCTGAGGCAGGAGAGTTGCTTGAACCTGGGAGGCAGAGGTTGCAGTGAGCTGAGATCGTGCCACTGCGCTCCAGCCTAGGTGTCAGAGCGAGACTCCGTACCTCCATTCAGTTTGGAAGTTTTTTGTGCCTTTCTTTCTTTCTTTTCCCCCTCCCTCCCTCCCTTCCTCCCTTCCTTCCTTGCTTTCTTTTCTTTCTTTCTTTCCAGACGGAGTCTTGCTTTATCACCCAGGATGGAGGGCAGGTGCCATCTTGGCTCACTGCAACCTCTGCCTCCTGGGTTCAAGTGTTTCTCCTGCCTCAGCCTCCCAAATAGCTGGGACTACAGGCACGAGCCACCACGTCCAGCTAATTTTTGTATTTTCTAGTAGAGACGGGGTTTCACCGTGTTAGCAAGGATGGTCTTGATCTCCTGACCTCGTGATCCGCCTGTCTCGGCCTCCCAAAGTGCTGGGATTACAGGCTTGAGCCACCATGCCCGGCCCCCCAACCCTTTTTTATTTTATTTTTTTGAGACAGGGACTCACTCCATCGCCCAGGCTGGAATTCAGTGGCTCAGTGTCAGCTCACTGCCTCCCAGGCTCAAGCAATCCTCCCACCTCAGTCTCCCAAGTAGCTGGGACCACAGGCATACTCCACCACACCCGCCTAATTTTTTTTTTTTTTTTTTTTTTTGAGAAGGAGTCTTGCTCAGTCGCCCAGGCTGGAGTGCAGTGGCGCCATCTCTGCTCACTGCAAGCTCCGCCTCCCGGGTTCACGCCATTCTCCTGCCTAAGCCTCCGGAGTAGCTGGGACTACAGGCGCCTGCCACCATGCCTGGCTAAATTTTTTGTATTTTCAGTAGAGACGGGGTTTCACCGTATTAGCCAGGATGGTCTCGATCTCCTGACCTCATGATCTACCTGCTTTGGCCTCCCAAAGTGCTGGGATTACA